ATCGCTAACCCCTTGCACCTGCCAGTCATAGGCGAATCCACCATCAGAAGAATAGCTTCCCCGACGGCAGCGGCTATCACGGCTGATACCTTGCTGGGTCACTGTGGGCGTGTTCTTCGCCTTCTAAATGGTATGCTTGGGAACCTCGGTAGCAGAATTCCCACATCTTCACCATCAAACTTATCGTACCAGCGACCTTGTTCACGAAGAAGGGGAGCGCATCGGGGAAGCATATGCACCACACGAAGCAACTTACTTGGCTGCCAGGAAGCGAGGTGTGGCGCTTTCACGACGAAAGGTGCGCTGGTTGCTGAGCAGGACTTCGAAAGCACTCCGCCCCCAAAAGCGATCCGCCCACTAGTTTAGTTGGTGATTTGGACGAGCTGCGTTGCCAGCAGCGGCACAACTGGAGCAACTCGATTGGAGCGTGGTTGCCATCGCGTGAACTCGTTCATACGTCCGCTTTCTGAGCTGTTACCTGTTCATGAGTGAAAACCAACGGCCAAAAAAGGGGTCCCGTTTTGCGTTTTCTTGACGGATTTCTCTGCTTTTTTTTCGCCACTGGCGTACCATTGAGCACCACCACGTCTCTTCTAAACCCTTCTTGAATCTATTGTAATCGCTGCCTTTAAGCAAACACGAACAGATGCTAGGCCTATGTATCGGACAGCTTTTACCCGCTTGTCTCTACTCGCAACCTTCACAGAACACCTCCATGTAATGGATCGGAGTAAGATCACACCTGCACTGCAGGAACTGGGACGATGAAAAGGTTTTTTTAATGTACAACAAATGGGTGTAGCGTCACCTCCCATAAGCATGCTTCAGATAAGGCAAGCAAAGTTTGCTCGCCCCAGCGTAATACTCAGTTTAAGCTTCTTTGATAAGAAGGAGCTTAGTTCTCGCAACAGTCATTGGCCCGCAGATGTGCACCGGTTCTCCTTCAATGGTAAGTATAAGGAATTTCAAAAAAAATTTTTAGCACAAATCTCATTTAGACCGTGTTGTCTTATCTCTTGCTCGTATTCCTGCTGGCTGTAGGAACGGCTGCGGTGTCTCCGACTCAGATCCGCCATGGTCAGTTCACCCTTACTCTCTTGTGCTTCATGGAGAGTTCTTGCTTTATTTTGAGGTCGAAGAAGTGAGCTACCACGACATCTGCAAGCGGCTCGAAATGAACGCGGTTCCGCTATCAGCAGCCACGTCTGCTATAGCTCAAGGTGTCACATCCTCTTCCCTTGGTGTTGACAAGATTCCATATATCGTTGAAAGATTCCAGGAACATCTTTCGCTTACTCTTACCTGAACAGTCATTTGAGTGCGAAAGATACTTCTTACACGGAAAACCTCTCTCTCACCGTCACAAACCCTACAGATCAGATCGCATCGATTACGGTAGGCGCTTCGATTCTGATACAGTAGGAGATCGCATAGATTCCAAATCGCATTTCAGATAACATCTTCATACGTGAATTTCACTACCATGAATTTTGTTGTTGGAGGAGGAGAAGTGATGACGGTGAGGGAAGTTTAAACTCATCCCATGCCTAGCCTATAACAATTGTCTCAGATTTTCAGAAGGTTTCAATTTCGTATCGTATTTCAATTGTGGTCTAGAGGTTACCAATTGCAACGGCCGGAATTATCGCCCCTACAAGCATGGTGCGGAATCGCATTACGAATCCTATGTCAACCTGTCCGCCATCCTTTCGAGGGCCATTCATAGGTGCCATATTTGGGTGCCCGTGAACGCGCCTCGACTCAGGGTCACAACGCTGCTGAACTGATTTTGAAGGTGTCAAAACACAACAACACGTCTCAAAACAGACTGACCAACTTCGGAAGGTACCACTAAAGGCTAGCTCGGGATCAGCCCGACTAGTAGGAAGGATACCGTTAGAGAAAATTGTGGGGTCCGTACCTACACAGTTCATGAAAGCTTCATCGCACAATCGCGCAGCTCGGGCACTGATTATTACGAAGCTGCAACCATCAACGACCTGTTGGCACGCCTCACACAAACAGCCCGCGATTGGATATAGACTGTCAGCGTCTTCGAAGCGCGTGTTTCTTCCACGTTGTCTTCCTGATCGGCCATGTCTTGCGTCGTCCCCAAACATCCGATGCTATACGAAGTTGAGGTCCTTAAAGGAATCTTCCACGGAAAAAGCTCCGCCTTCATTACCACAGAAAACGATACCTTAAGGAATCTTCCACGAAAGAGTGATCATTTTGTCTTGTGTGTAGGATTAGTATTATCGAAACTAACGCTTATGTTCCGTTCTTTTTGCTATGCTCATGAGGCTAGGGGCCTAAGGTATCGTTTTTCTGTGGTAATGGAGGCGGAGCTTTTTCCGTGGAAGATTCCCTTTGATTTTGGCGTTCCCGGTGATTTTCTTGCTTTCCTGTCCTTTTTCTGTTTGTTCCACAGCTCAGTCATCACTAGGAAGCGCTCTTACACACCATTTCCTTCCCGGAGTTGTCTTTAACCCATGAACGACCAACATCTGCGGCAACGTTTTCGCATTTTCCATCAATCCTTCAATGCTTCACTACCAGTAATGATGAAGTTGTTCTTCGGTCCCAAGAATGGATACAGAACATTCTGGAACACAAAGAAGTGCCAAATTAATCGAGCAATACTCTTCGCTCCATGTGAAAGTTTGGCATAGCGTCATGAAGTCACACACACTTGCCATCGGATGTAACAAAGTGAGGCGGCCGATCGAAACATCGCGTCGGTCCGAAAGAGCAGCACCTATCACCGCTTGTGAGCTCGTCGAAGCAAAAACTGCATGGCTTCAAAGGCCAGTGATACGAAAAAGTGNATGTGGAAGAAGGGAACGTATGTCTGGTGCGTGCAAAAGAATTTTCCCGAAAGCTCCCAAAAAACGAGAAGAGCATTGTATCGCGAGAAGGGTGCGCTCACTGTAAACTAGTAAACTTTTAGTCCACTGAACGCCACCCGCCGTGGCAAGGTCCCTTTGCATGTGAAAGGCTTAAACTGCGTTTATTGAATGCAACATTTTTATCGCCATACTTTGCTCTTCATTTCGGAAAAGGACATTATTTTATGGAAGTTTTAAGTGGACGGACGCTCTCATCTGCGTATGCAATCCTTGTCAATCAGAAGATGATGTACAGGGTGTGGTTCACTAGGACTGAAAGCGACTTTACCGCGTTTCGCATCACGAAACATTTTTCGCCATTGCGGGGATCTTAAGATGACATTTGCTTGCTCACTGTTCTAGCACTCTGATCTTATCAGTCACCTAAGCCAATTATGGACATGGATGGTTAAGACAAGGTTCACACAGAAATCGCCGCCCAACCGCCGCGCGACGATGCTCGCCGCGTGAGCGGCGTGACCTCATTAGCTGACGATTGAATTGACCGTCTCCCCTAGTGAACCACACCCTGGTGTACTATACGCTGGCGTGTTACCGGCACGTGCAAATGGGCTCGTCTTGGTCGCTGACTTGCTGAAAACGGAGATCATCGGAAACGGGGTCCATATCCCTAGTTTTGGCGCCATTTTCGCCTCAATTTTTCAGTTGGCTCGGTGCCCCTCTTGCTTTTCAATTTCGTGAGCGGCGGAAAGATTTTTTGTCCGCATTCGTTCAAAAACGAGCTTGCCACATTCTATTGGGTGTGGGAAAGTTTCCGGCCCGCCTTTTGACGCTTGAATTCAAAATCGTATATCTCAATTTAAACGAAGCGCCTTTGCTCAAATAAAAACTTATTACAATCCCCATACTTTTGCCTACAAGAATTAAGTTTGAACTGATCCCTATGTTGGAAGTGCTGGAGTTCTGTGAGCTACGAACTCGCCGAAGGTCGTTCCACCACCATGTTCGGTTCCAACGCTCAATCTCTATAAGTAGACCTTCCAGGTGGTTAGAAAGGTGATAGTTGGCAAGCAATAGGTCTAGTGCTTAAAATATTTGCAGCACAATTTTGTAGCTCAGCTAGTTCAACTTGTGCAGTGCTGGAAGTGCGAGATGGGGCTGCGCAACAGTGGGAAAAATGCTCGGCGGCACCCAATTTTCGACTTCTTCAGGGGTTTTTACCCTCACTGCTATGTTTGAAAACCTTGTGTCGGTTACGCCCATTTCAGAAGCAGCTTTTTCAACAGTTTCATGCAGATTTGATTTGGCCGAAAACCCTCAGCTGATCTTTATAAGTCTCCATATCACTAATCTCTTTCGAAGCTTTCAACATCGCGAGGAAGCCTTTTTGAATCACGACTCCACAGCGTATTTTTTGTGGACTCAGAACCAAATGCTCAGTTGATATCGCAACTTGCTTCCGCACATTTCCGAGCAAGTTTGAGGGGAAACAAGAAACTAGTGCAAAGCAGGCTGTTGAGTAGGTTGTATTCAAGACTTCAAAAATTGGAAAAGCGGTTTAGGACTGAAAAACAGTAGATATAGATAGAGCGGGAAATGCGCTTTCTAAAGATATATAAAGCATTAGCAGTTTCTCGAAAGTGACCCAGAAATAAAGCATCAAAAGTGAGCTATAAAAACGGCAGGAACTTTCCGGACAACCCAATATTTTCCGTTCAGTTTAGAATTCACAAGTGTGAAATATTCATGCCATAAAGTGTATCCTTTGCAGGTGTCCATCACTCCGGCAGACATTCAGACGGATTATATGGACATGTACCTTCAATATGCCGTGAATGAAAACAAAGTTCTTTTCGTCGATTCGAACGTTACCGTTTCTCTCATTGCCAGCAACAGTCTCACCGGTGGTGGAGGCGAGGACAAATTTGTCGTTCTCCCGGTGAGCCCTCGCCAACTTCACATTTGCCAATCTGCACAATGAGACTAATTTTCAGATATGTCAACTTGGTATGGAATATCACGTCGTTGGTGACGAGTCGTCTCATGTTTTTCAGAGCTATGAGTCGACCAACATCATCACCATCATCGCCACACAGGACAGCACAACGGTACAAGCACATAGAATAATTTTAGCCAATCATTAAAGGCAGCGATTTTGATGGTTTCTAAAAGTTCAGAGGGAAGCGGGGGTGCTCAATGGTACGCCAGTGGCGAAAAAAGCAGAGAAATCCGTCAAGAAAACGCAAAACGGGACCCTTTTTGGCCGTTGGTTTTCACTCATGAACAGGTAACAGCTCAGAAAGCGGACGTATGAACGAGTTCACGCAACGCGTTTGGTGGCACCATGCCAAACCACGCTCCAGTCGAGTTGCTCCAGTTGTGCCGCTGCTGGCAACGCAGCTCGTCCAAATCACCAACTAAACTAGTGGGCGGATCGCTTTTGGGGGCGGAGTGCTTTCGAAGTCCTGCGCACCTTTCGTCGTGAAAGCGCCACACCTCGCTTCCTTGGCAGCCAAGTAACTGCTTCGTGTGGTGCATATGCTTCCCCGATGCGCTCCCTCTTTATCGTATTTGCTTCCTTCAACCGGGTGAAGCTCTCACCCCAAGACATCTATTTCATTATACAGTGAGCATGCTGCATAGTAGTTTCTTTCTTTCGCCAGGATCTTTCTTCTCTGTAGAATCGCATTCGCCACTCATATTTATTCCAATGAACCCACATAGAATAAGCAAAGGCGAACTATGAAGTTGCACAGGGCGATAGGAGTATGCACAGAGCTAACAAGCTGCTTCAACCTACACCTACAGTATTCATGATTGATTCGAAGGTGATAGGCTCTGCAAGCGAAAGGCGTAGCATTCTTTTGCCAGTATCATTTCAACGACACAATTTCAGTGATATTTTCACCTTTTTTTATTACCGACGTAAAAAACACATAACAAATGGCAGCTGTGGTTGTGAAAAAATAGAGAAGTGATACATTAATTCTCTATGAACGTGACTGTTGCACCTTTTCAAGATCGAAATATTGGGCTGATCCATAATTTCTGGCCGAATTTCAACACTTTGATTTCTTCAAGTTTTCTCTTTTCTTAAAAACGATCGATCCACCATCATAATCATTGACAAGCATCCACTTGGTAGGAACGAATGGATGCATCCCTCCCACAATGAATATAGCTATGGAATGAAAAGTTTGGGGAGGTCGTTTCTTGGATGCTTGCATTTACTGACCATTTTCTCTCCAAGCTGCTGCTTCAGGGAGCTGGGGAGGTGATAGCGTGAAGCAATGACAGGGCTATACGATAGATGTGGTTGTCGTGGTCCACCAGTTTCTCTCGAAACGTGGCGAGTTATCTTTTCAATGTGATTTCGGGCGGTCCTCCGGATGAAGGGGATTTTTGAGACTTTCCGAACCGTTCTCCCGCACTGCTGCGGCCAACTTCGGAGCTATTCCATGGTCACCTTCGCAATGCTTGTCTGCATAAAGTGAAATGGTTCTCAAAACAGGATACCCAGCGAATCCAACGAACCGGGGGTAATATCCTCTGATGAAAGAGCTCATGCTTTGGTCGAGATGGTGAGTCCAGGCTGCGAGGTAGCCACAAGGCGTGCTGCGTGTTGTTATCGTGGTGGACTCATGACTCATCTGCACTGGTGACCAACTAGGGAATGTCTGTCTATATGGTCGCAGAATGAAACTTCTGCAGATGGTCAGGCGTGCTTCTCGGTCATGGTCAGTCGATGCATGCTGTTTCCATCGAGTCTTCATTCTGCTACAGCCCCTTCCATTCAGGTGTCGACTCATGGAGCGTAGGCTGCGTCCAGATGTTTGCTACAGTTTCCTGCTAATAGCGTCAGGATGCACTTCCTATTCGTTGCGCAAGGGGTCCTCATCGAAAGTGACTGGAGGTCCATGATGAGGTCGAACTTTGCAGCTCCTATCGTTTGCCGATGCTATTGAGCCAATAGCTCAGTGCCCGATCAGTAGCAAAGACTGGGGCAAACGTAGCGCTGATCTTGCCTACCGCGCTCCTTGCAAGGTTCTTCTTAAAATTGTCGTAAGGCATAATCGTTGGGTTTGGTCGTTGATCTATTTTGATTCCTACTTAATTATCCCGTTGCGCATTTGAGCTTCTGAAACATCCTGGCTGAAGGTCCTGATGTGTTCTTCAACATATCAACTTATTTCGATATGAAGTTAATTTGACATATTGAAAATTGAATTTGAACCAAAATCGGCCAGAAATTATGGGTCAACCCAATAGTATGGTTATTTCGTTCGGATAAACGTGTACGGGCGCAGTGGACCGCTTGTGAAGATATAGGAAAAAGCACTGTTTGGAAAACTGAGAGTAAAGACATTCTACGGAGGAGAGCAGGGGTAAGCGGTGATTATGACAAGGCCCTAGCGCATTTAAGCCTATATCAGACTTCGCGATTATGGTGAGCTGCACTTGCTAATTTGGCGACTTCAGCGATTCCAGCGATTCGGGAGCGCAAGAAGTGGCGATGCGCGGAAGGCGAGGTCACACACTCTCAATCGAATTGCTGTGATCTAGTGGAATCGCTAGTGACAGTCGGCAACCTCGCGAAGTTTGACATCTGCCTTTTACGAGCAAGTGAAAGCACAGCAATCTACTACCTCTCCGGGCTGCTCCATCATGATCACTAAAGGAATAGTTCTACTAGCTCTTTCGGGACATATGCCTCTAGCACAGAGGCGTGACTGAAGGAGGAATACAAATAATAGGAGTAAGATACGATGTTGAAACGCTACAGAAACCATGTCTACATACAACCCGGCGTTGGCTGCTTTTATTGTAGCGCAGCACTTGCATTGCTCAAATGAACGTGCACTGACTGCTGCTGGGACGCCACCTACTCGGTGCCTCAATTTAATGTGGCCCTTGTGATAGCACACAGTCCTGGATGGCCTGGCAAACTTCGGTGAAAATGTGGTAAACATCAATGTAAAGCAAATGATGTTGATATCTGATAATATGATGATAACAGCGATGTGTGGGCAGGCGACGCTGCAGTCGATGCACGTTCTTCCATTAGCATCCGCCACGAGTTCGCCCTTTGTATGCACTCCTTCGTATGATAGCCGTTGATGATAGTTCGGGTCCTACTTGGAAGATCATAATTTTTGCATCCATCAAGGTTTTATCACTAGTTGTAGGTTCAAATGAATTATCTGTACACGAAGCCTACCGTATTGAATCGTGGACAACAACTCACCATCGCGACTTATTACACCCAGGTCAGTCGGAGTGATAGTGGTTTGCACAGACATTACTCCGAGAAAACTTATTTAGACGGCGGTTACCGTGACTTCGGACAAGCCTGTAGCTGTGATCTCTGGGTCTGTTTGTGGATACGGCTACTACAATCCAAGTCACTGCAGTTATGAGGTTCGTAATTCCATTTTGGCATGAAGGAGAAGCCTAGAATCGTTTGATGGGTTGTTGCGCTCAAACCGTGACACTGGAGATGTGACGCGTGATGCCAGAAATGACAATCTGGGAGAAATCGACGACATGAACGAAACTAAAGCCTACTTCCCAGTAGTGTCAGCGCTAAATAGCCTTGGTTTGTGGATGGGGTGTATGGTGAAGAGCGGAGTATATGATGGATCGCTAGATCTTGGCGCCTTGGTCTTGTAAAGTGGTGGCGCCAGGTGGGCGCATACTCTGAGCTGGCGTTGCGAAACCCAGAAGCCTCATTTCGTCTAGAGTTTTCGAGCTTTGCCTCTTAGAAAGAGTGACAGCCGAATCTGATTTAGAACTACATATCTCTTCTGCGTACAAATCTATTTGTTCAGGTGCTGATGCTTGCACCGGCGTCGAACTGGGCTCTAGACGCTCCCTTCTACAAATATCAACCGGAAGACATCGGTGAATTCATGGTTCTCTTCCAGGTGAGTGTTTTTTAGCACCGATCTCATGAAGAAACAATCTTAGATTCAAAGTATTGTGAAAAATGGTCTCTTGTTGCGCTTTAGTTAGTTGGCCGGAATAGCACTATTACTACTGGAAACACGCAACTATATGGTTTATAAGGCTATTTTTAAATAACTACAGACCCATCACCTTGCTGTCTCAAATCTATAAGACCTTCACAAGAATAATCCTAAATCGCATAGTCAAAGACCTGGACATAGTCATGAGCCGGGAACAAGCCGGTTTTCGAAGTGGTTACTCCACACTCGATCATCTGCACGTTGTACGTCAGCTCATCGAAAAATGTGAAGAGTACCAGATCCCCCTATATGCATGGCATTTGTAGATTACAAGAAAAGCTTTCGATTCGGTTGAAACAAACGCGATATTGAATGCTATGAGCAGATATGGTATTAGTTCGTCCTATGTCGACCTCTTGGAAGAGCTGAACAACGGTTGCTCTACAGAAATAAAGCTCTTCAACGATCCATGCCAAATAAAAATCTGCAAGGCGTTCGACAAGGTGATACGATCTCGCCGAAATTGTTTGCACTAACTCTGGAAGCCTTGTTCAGTGATCTTGATTGGACGGATGGCATAGAGATCGATGGAGAACGGCTGACTCATCTGCTGTTTGCCGATGATTGCGTTATTTTTGCACATAATGCTTTTGAGCTCCAACAGAAACTTGTGCTGCTGCAGAAGAAATCAAATGAAATTGGGCTTGAAATGAACTTGTTAAAAACCAAGTGGATGCACAATCAGTTCAGTCCTACAGAGACGATCAATGTAGACGGTGAAACGATTGAAGAAGTGAAAAGCTATAAATACCTTGGACACCAGCTCAGCTTCACTGAAGGCACTAGCGAGGAATACAGTAAACGCAGGAAAGCAGCATGGTCCAGCTTCAACAAAATCTCAAGGGTATTGCTAGAACCTCCCGATGAAACTGAAGGCATCTTTGTTTCACTCAACGGTGATACCTGCGCTTGCTGTACGGCGCGGAATGCTGGTCGCCCACTAAAGCAGACGAAGAGAAATTTGCTGTGATGCAGAGGTCAATGGAACGCAGAATTTGCAAAGTGTCACTTCGTGAACATATCACAAACACAGAGCTTGCGAAGAAGAAGTGGCCTTGTTGATGTTGTCCAGGAAATGTATAAACGTAAACGAGATTGGGCCGGTCACGTGGCACGTCTTAAAGACAACAGATGGACTTTCAGGCTTATGAATTGGATCCCGTTGGATCACAAGCGATCGCCAAGAAGGCCCAAAACGAGGTGGGCCGATCCGATGGTGAAAATGCTCGGCCAACAATGGAGAAGACATGCACAGGACCGGAATGGATGGTTCAAAGTCGACTTGCGCAATGGAGAAGTTTGCGAGGACGAGTCGGATACAGGTGATACAGGTGATTGATGACAAACTAGTGCCGGTGGCTGTTGTTATCATCCTGGAGAATTTAAACTAGGAATCCACGATAAAGTCGGAGGCCGAATTAGGGGAGTACACCTAGTCTGAAGGCATGCTGGACCTAACATTGGCGTGCGAGACGATACGCATTCCGCGATCAAGCGGCTTAGCAGGGTGTACCGCGCCGTTTGCAGCCAGCTGTCTGCGCCACCTATGGTGTAACTCATCGCCTCTGACTTTATGCGCGTTGAACAGGGGACGAGTATCTTTGGAGATGAGCAGCACCGCTGAGGTCGCATCAATGCGCACATCAACGGGCGAGAAAGGGCTCCCATTCCTCAGGTTCTAGCTCGGTTTTCTTGTTTTTTCTTCGTCCATGCATTACTGACTCCTCCGACTGATTTCTGTTGGCTGCCTTTCATCGAGAACTCTGTCTTGAAGGCAGTGGATCGGATGATACAGTCTTCCAGAAATTCGTCGATGTCTTCTCCAGACGACTTTGGAACGAGACTGGCCCTTCATATTGGTGAAATAAACGATTCCCCATGCATGATTCATTTTTCCCTACTTGTTGTTCTTATCACCAATAAGCAACACACACGATGAGTAATAAAGGGATCATGGCAAAGGAGGATCACCCTCTAGGGATTATACGCATACGGCTGACATCGCTGCCCTATCCTTCCTGGGTCTTCTGTTTGATATCGCTCCTTAGTGGGTTCTACGACTGCGGGGACTAAGCGAGGAGAAGAACAGCTCTTGCAGATGAATAAGTGCAATAATTAACGAATTCTTCCCACAACCCATCTCTGTTTGACACAGTCATATCTACAACAATGCAAGCACCAGTTCCACGACCCTGATGGGAAGTGGATGCGTGGCATCTTGAAAAAATTACCACAAAAAACGGTTGATCGCCTCAGGAGACATTACAGAATCCAAATTTGGCTACACTAGCTTGAAAAACTTTCTAGAAGGTTTAATAAAATATTTTTATAGAAAGCGAACACTGACCTATATCTCAATGAGGAGAAGGTGGACAGCGGTCCATTCGGTAATGATTCGTACCTGATTGTTGGGACAAGGACAGGAATCTACGTCCGAGCCAACGGTCCAATCTACGTAGTCGCTGTACGTGCCAGCATTTACTTACAAGTATATATAAACTGATAATAAATGCAATACTGCAGGTAGGCAGCTCGAACACGCAAAACCAAGGAGCCCCCTTCTTTGCAAATGTTCCGACGAGCTCCAGCTTTGGCCAGGGACCATACACGTTCACGTGAGTTCTACAAAGATGTTCGCTTTTACTTGCAGCGCAGGGACAATAAAGGAAGACAAGCACAGCACATCACCGTGCACTTTCCGCCAAGAGAATGTTATCGTATACTCCAGTGCTGCAGTTGCGTTAACAACCTTATTTTAGCAAAACTTTTGTTGGTAGTAAAGCGTTTATAAGAATGGTATAGTAGAATGAAAGTGTTCCTGTCAGGAATTACAATTCATTATTATTTATTCATTTATTTATTTTGCTTTTAATTTATGACGTAATTATGCTACAACAGGGTTGCGCCGACGGTGGACGAACAACTGAACATGAAGCACTTCATCCGTGTCACCTGCTCATCGCTAAATTGCATTGGAACTGTAAAGGTTGACAACTACGTTCCCAATGGACTGCTCTTCACAAGGTAATTGTATGAAAGTAGGCAGAATCACTACCAAAGTATCACTGATTAAAGCCCTACCGCACGGTGAATTCATTTCGACCAATCCTTTTAAAAGAGAGTAGGGCTGTTCAAGAACCCGACTGTTACGGAAGAACCATTCTTACGAGTCAACAGTGCGCGGGAACAGCGCTAAGGAGTCGGTCAGACTCGGCGATTGCAACGCGATCGCGTCGCTCCGTCGCTGGTCCATCACGTTGCAATCGCCGAGTCTGACCGACATCTAAGGCCCTGATTGACGCCGATGACCACCAATGATTATGGCCTTCTCGCTCGCTCGTGTCTGCGCTCCGTCTCACAGTTTTGCTCACAGACCTGAGTCTATTCCTTCTCCTCAGTGCCTCTTCTCTTATCTCCTAGTCTGCTCCAAACTACAAACAACTCCACAGCCTGGAGGAAGTAGACCCCTATTTTCAGCGTTTTTAATAGTTTAATTTTCATCACTTTCGCACTTCTTCTCTCATTTTCAAGCTAGCGTGCCCCACATAATTAGGTATGGGTACGTCTAAAACGAAGCCTCAGTTATGGTCCCCAGCTAACGGTTTCTGCCATTCATAATGAGTACCGGTGAATGATCACACGATGCACCAGTTGAAAGGGTCTGATGTACTAAATTTATCGAAACGCTTAAGAATGGGTCGAAGTAACTACTACTGTGTTGACGTCGCTGTGAAAGGAGGCAAGCACACAGTGTCCTTCGTCGGAGCCGATACGCCGTGGGCACCCATCTCTTTTGGGTGAGTTCTCAGCGGAAAACATCTACATACATCGCTTCAGCAACCTGATTTTAGTGTGACGGTCTATGGTTATGGATTGAATCGTGCCTACGCGTTCACACCTGGACTCAGCTATCAAAGTGAGTTACTTTGGTATTTGCCCTCGTTTTCGGAGCCGTCACAAAAAAAGCTAGGTAGAACTCATAAAAGTGCTCGATAGCAAGATACTTTACAGTGACATTCAGCAATACCAAGAGAGTTGGAAAAGG